TGAAATCCATCCAGGTCCAAAAGGCTGTAACCACTTTAATCAAGGTTTTTGTGCTCCCCTGGCAGCACCTTTGCCATGGACTCAGAACAGTTCTGGGTGTGAGCACTGCAAAGGATACAAAGGCCATGGGAAGAACTGTAAACTCCTAACTTACCAACATCTTCTACTTTTAACATGTTGGACAAACAGTGTGAATTATCTATAGGCTTTACTCTAGCTGTAAATCTGCATTGCTGCCCAATGCTTCAGCCAGGGCTTGGGGACTGGATTTCAGAGGTACTTTGGGGGCAATATCCTGGAATGACCTTTCAAAGACATAGTGAACAGAAAAGGCTACAACATTGCTAAAAGAAGAGATCTTCATGTTTAGAGAAAAGACAATTCAGGATTTAAAAGTGCAAGTTTGTAAAAGGGTGATCTACTGGTATTCCCAAGGGGATGTGTTTCTGTTTGTTGTATGATTGTTTTATACCATATTTACACTGGCCAGGAAGGAATTCCCATTTCCTTTTCTCCCTTGATGTATATCTTGGTCTCTACAGTGTTTATTTATTTTCATTCCTTTGAAGCATTTAGTCACTGGCCATGGCTAGAGACAGGTGAATGGATGCACTAATAGCAGCTGCCAGGTATTTGCATGGCTTTTGGTCCTCACACAGCATCAAACCCACGTGCCATCTTGGCATCAAAATCCACTGCTCTCTTTCCAGAGGTTGTACTGGCAGAGAATTTTCAATGTCTATATTTTTATTTCCTCTGCTATGGATTTAACCCCACACCTGTTCACCTGTTGTGACAGACTATGGATGATGGCAATGCCTTTAGTTGACCTCTTCATTTTCTCGTCACATTAATCATCATGACTCTTAGCCTTTTTCTGTTGGCCCTAAGTTTGCTGCAGAGTTATAACAACCATTCAGAGTGGAACAAAATACAGAAAGGCCTTTTAGTTGCCTGCAGTTTCTGAAACCACATAATGTTTTGACACCACAAAATCTGTACAAGAAATCCCTATAATTACGCAACATCACTCCTAGAATCTGATTCATGGTATCCTCATAGAAAGTATAAACCTGTTCTGTTTTATATAAAGGTGACTTAACAGTGTTTGAAAAACAAAAAAAAAAATCTCTGAGAATCTGGACTAGTCAAATAAGGCAGAATTAATATATTTGTTATTACTACTGCTTTGACTGTCTTACAAAAACATAACAAACACCACTGATCTTAACAAAGACAACAGGAGTTCAGTATGAGATACAGAAAATGCTGAAAAACAAAATATTTTGTCCTATTTTGCAAGGTAAAATATCATTAGAATCTTGTCCTTGCTGTACAATATTAACTGCAGGCTCCTAATATGCCCTACCTGGAACTGCAATAAACTCTGCTCATCTTTGTGACTGCAGCTGAATATTTCTCTTTAGAAACTATGGGTAGAGTGTATGTAATTGCCTCAAAGAAGGAGGTACATAGGCTCAGAAAGTTTACATTTACATTTCCCAAATTCACAGAGACTCTTGTAGCAAGGCCACAGAAAATTTTCTCAGGGCTTCCAGGTGCCATTTGACTACTACAGACACAAAGTTACATTTCCTATGATTTAAGCCAATAATTACATCAAGGACATGTTGATCAGGAAGAGTTAGTCAAGGTTTTTTGTGAGTTTATGTCTCAGTAGATGTTAACTAACATTTAGAAAATTACTATGGCATTAGGATTTTACTGAAAAATACAACAAAGACTTTAAAAAGCATGTACAAATAGGCACAATTATGTACACTACAGGAAAAAATTCATGTTGCAAGACAGAAGTGGGAAGTTTTAATTTATGATAGCTGAAGGAATATGAGTTTACTAATGACAGGATTTCCCTCTTTCATAAGATCACAGTAGTACAAATAGAGGTGACATATTGCTTCACTGAGAACTATAAAGTGCAGGTTTGTCTTATGCAGTGGTCTGCAGCAGTTGTTTGCAGACGGAAAAATGTAGGAGTAAGGTGAGGAGCTGCAGACAAATCTTAATGTCTGCACAAGGTTCCAGGCCTTAAGGTTTCGGAAGTCTATTTTTAAACTTAGTTTCTTTGAAAAACAGGGGCCTGCGACGAATGCTTGTCATTATGGTATAATGATCTATCTTCTTGCCAGAGTATTTGGGGATTACATTTCACAGAGAAGCAGAGCTATCTGCCAGAGATTGTTCTTCATGTTTGTATCTGTTTTCTCTCTTTCCCAGTAAAGTCTATGGCCTTCCATAGCTCCTAAGGCTTTAAAACTGTGCAAATGTCTTCTATTCCAGATTTCCACATACCTGTCTCTGCCCAAGCTGGCTGTTCCTGGCAGCCTGCTCAGGGAGCTTAGTGTGTCAGGAGCCAGCATCCTTCTGGTGCTGGTGTTCAAGCAGCTCCTTGCTGGGAAGCTCGCCTAAGTCTGGCCAAATTGTCTGGGTATCAGCAAAGATCATTGATAGACTGAGCTAATACAATCAACTTCAAGAGAAAACGATAGAAAGTAAAAGGAAAAATGCCCCCTGTTCAAGGATACTTGGCTAGATACCATTCCACAAACAATACCACAATTAAAGACCTCTGAGCAAAGGAAATGAATCTTCATTGCCCTGATTTCATGCTCAGCTTCCAATTTCACGTAGTTCTAGATAGGGAGGAGGTATTAGTGCATTAGTATTCAATATGTTTGTATGCTATGCCAGCAGAACGTTGTGTGGCTTCTGAGACAGGTGACAGCCCTCCAAACCCTCTGGAGTAGAGAGCCAAAAAGCTCTGTGAATGACAAAAGACCTCTGTGGGTACCATATGATCTCCATTTTCTGTGTGTGATATGGCAAATGCATGAGCTGCCTACTGGCTATGAAAATACTTGGAAAATTTTTCACATATGGGGGCTTAAGCATATGATTGCACCATAACATGATAAGTTACACATGTCTGGGCACTGAAGAATTTTGATTGTGATACTCAGGTGCATATTAGCCCTGAGGTCTCAAATCCTTTCCATGAGGTGATGCATTCCTCCAATCCTAAACAGCTCTCCACTGTGAATCAAATACTTCACAGTGATGAGGACTATTTTTCCATGGGTTTATTTATAGAAAGGAATTATTTTCTCACGTGTTTTATCTATCGGTTATACAGTCTGACTGAGAGCGATGCTTCATGTATAAGACAAGTAGATCCACCAGTCAAAGCTTGCTATTCCCTTACAGCAGAGATGTAGACAAATGTGCTTTGTAACTGTGACTATAAACTACTTGAAAGTAGGATTTGAAACAGCCAGGAGAAGTAATGTAACAGAATTTAAATGAGAGAAGCAGATTGGTGAAAAGCACAACCGATATGTCCTTCCTATCTTGGCAGTTTTAGGGTCCCAAATACAAGTTTCTCTGGTTTTATTCTCTCCTTTGCTTGACATACAAAAACTTGCAGCAGTAAAAGGAGAGCTAGGGAGAATGAAACTGTAAGTAGATAAGAAGACTTCTGTATGATAGAAGCGTTGCAGACTTGATCTACTCCTTATCTTTTGGGAAATAAAATGAACAGGAGGATGCATGCTAAATTTGAAACAGGGGTCAGACTCCTTCCAATTTACAAGAACTGTTCCAGATTAAATGGTCTGTTCAGACTTGGAGATTATTTTGGATGGAAAGAACTAGAAAAGCACTCTTGCTGTTTTTTAAAATACTCTTACTGCGTTGGTTTCAAAACTCAGAAAGAAAACCAAAACTGTGTGTAAAATACCCCTCGAAATACATCAACACACCAAGTGAAGTGGATTTAGCAGTGATATAAAGTGATCACAAATCGCAATTAAAAACACTTCAGGGAAGACAAAGTATTAGTTTTTTCTTGGTTTTTCAAGACCTAGTTTTAACAATGTGCTTTATAGTCTGCCTACATTTAGGCATGTAATTTAAGTAAATTGGGTCTAAATTAAATTGCTGGCAACAAACAGCAAACTGTGTTTTCAGAAATACATCAACAGTTTTTTAAGATGGTTATTGTTAGTCACGGCAGGGTAGCTCACTGTACTTCTCAGTCTCCTCAGTTTATTCTGTATCCTGATTTGATTCTGCAAAAGTCATTGGGCTCCTCTACCTGCTTGCCTAAAGAAGCAGTTCACATATATCTTCATGCTCCAAGTTTTGCTCTTGTTCAATGGAAGGCTGAAAACTCAAAATAACTTCTATTTCACACAGTGTTAGTACAAAACTTTATGGGACTGTGACTAAATCTGCACTTCTGCAGTCAATTGTGGGCACATTAGGGCCATTATCAGCTCAGGCAGTTACTGAAAACACTAAAATAAAGTTTCACACTACTTGTCCTGCTGATGTGTTTACCAGGCCATATTATCTCCTCCACATGAATCCAGATATTGGGGATGCTGTTAGGCAGTCATAAAGAAAGAAAACCAAGAAGACAAGAACTACCTCCTTCCCCACACTCCTGCCCTCCCCCTAGCTCTTCCCCTCTGATCTTTAGTGACCTTCTTTTTTAGACAGGGGTGTAAAACCAAATTTAGTTCTCTGTTACGCTGGTGTGTATCTGATTAAACCCACTGCCATCATGAGAGATTTTCTGGTTTTACACTGTTATAGGAGATAGTAACTTTTGGCAACAACCTTTATGTAGCATAGTGTAAACAGCTTGCTCTCATGCAAACAAATTACAAAATTGTGTATAGAGCAAGAGAATCCCTGCTTTTAAGCTGTCGTTCTCAGGAAGAGGAATTAAGTCATCCAACTTGGATATGTGTAATCCTCTTGAATTCTTTAAATTTACAACTTTCTATCGCTGTGTAAACTTGACTTTCCTTGTTGAGATGCTGCTCTCTAATTGTTTGCTTCTTGAGGATATGATTTTAAAAGATCATACTGTATCTAGTCATCTTCACCATCTGATGCAATTTAAGGAAAAGAAAAAAAGACCATTAAATATAGTTAACACAGCTTGGCTCTGTCTTCTTGTTACTCCCCTACAGGCAATGGAAAAGGAGCCCAGAAAACAATTTGTTTATTATAAGCAGGTCAGTCCTCGAGGGGACTCATGGAATCACGCAGTGGGAGAGGACAATCATGGCACTGAAATGGTGGGTAATTTTATTTGTTCCACTTGATGGTCACAGTGGCATCATGCTGGCCAATTACTCTTGAGTCAGCAGGTTTCAGAGGTTAAGACCCCCTTGTGGGTTGCAGCACTGCAGGCAAAGTATTCAGGCCAGATTGAAACCGTTTCAAGAGCAGAGACGCCAGCCGCCTTCTCCCTTGGAGTTCTCCTTTTTCAACTGTGTACGAGACATACATGTGATAAAATAGGCATGTCTCTAGCATCGAGACAGCTTAATTATTGAGAGTGGAAAAAATGCCAGCTTCAGATAAAGAAAGGAAGAAAATCAGCCAGAGAGACAGGCTATGCTGAGGAGGCATGAAGTGAACAAATATTGCAAACTTCGACACCAGGCTCCAAAGGAAAGATCATGTCTGGGAATAATCCTCATGCCAATAGTCTACTAGTGTTTCAAGGCTGCTGAACCTTTCACAATTTCATCACATTTTTCTCCAGTGGAAATGTTTCAAGCTACTTCTTCAGTGATCTGTAATTCTAAGGGGAAAAACAGCAGCAAAGCATTTGCTTTACCAGTAGAACCTGCCACAAGTGATTGGGCAGAGGCGGATATGAAAACCAAGAGAGCAGAAATAATGTGTGTAAGGGAATTGGGCAGGAGAGTTGTCCAGGACAGGCTGAAATTGTTCCATTAGGCTTAGATGAAATTCATTAAGTGACTCACATTTCATTTGGATTGGGGTATGGGAAGCAAGGAAGTGGCATTTTATCCTCTTAATGATAATACTACTGTTATGATCTCAGAAACAGGGGAGGCTTCTCAGGCTTAAGCTCTGTTGTGTATGTGACATTTCAGGCTTAAAACATCTCAAGTGTATATTTCCTGTCAGAAATATTATGCTGTGAGAGCTATTCAGTTTCTGAAGGATTCACTGGAGAGTTAAGATCCCTGCTTTAATGTTTTTTTTTTTGCTAACATCATGCCAGTTTGCAGTTTCTGGAAAACATCTCAAGAATCTTAGAACCAAGACATAGATATATTATTATGATTAACAGTGGTGCTAATTTATCCAGAGCCTGCTCTTATGAGACAGAAATGATCAGTGGGACTCTGATGTCTTGCTCTGCAGATCTGGATCGATGACATTTTAAGCTTAATATAAATGTCAAGCTATTTGAATTTGCAGAAAATATTGGGATGTAGTGGAATGAGACAAAATGTATATAATCAGGATTTTAATTTTTAATAATTTTATTATTAGGAGTAATTTTTCCTTCTTCAGCAATAGGAGGTTATGAGAAAACTTTGATCATGACAAATCCTGCAACTAACTTTTACAGATCAAAATGCATTTTGATCTGTAAAACACTGGTGCATTGCTCTTTTTTTGGAAGAGATTTCCCAATGAAAGGAGGAATCCAAAGCAGGAAGTTTTTTTAATGCTCTTCATTCCTCTAGCACCACTTTATATGACACAGACACTGGAAAAGTCTCACAATGGCAAGTGCTCACACTGTGGCTGTAGAAAGCCATGTATTTGGGCATCAAAAGTGAAGTGAACCTCAACTCAAACTCTTGTAAATCAGGTACATTTTACACTGCAGTGAATTGAACAGCCGCAGAAAGTTAAACACATACTTGCTTGAGCTGCTTTCTAAGGTCACTGTGAGTGTTCAGCCATTGTCACAGAGTTCTAATGAACAAAGGGCATGTGAGAATTCATTAAAAAAATGAAGAGAATAACTTTAACATCTTAATAACCATCTCTTTAACAGCCTGGGAATCTTTTTATTTGGCAGTTCAGAACGTGAAACAGAACCTATGAGAAAGATCAGAACCAGTCTTTTCCAGTTGTGTTTAACTGCTTGAACTACACATTCACTTCTCCTCCTAGAGAGCTGTCAATTAACCCCTGCACGACACACTCAGGCAGTGAGTCTGTACAGTTCAGAGGTAGTCCTTCTCTCAGCTGCACCTGAAACACTACTTCATCTTCCAGATTTTGCTCCTGCCTATTTTACAACCTTGGATTTCAAACCAGGGAAGATGCTAGACAAAGAGTAAATTAGCCTGAAGAGATATTGCTAAGAACAGTATCATTTCTTTGGTTTAATTGGATATATTGTTTTATTAAGTGTGTATAGTTAGAATATCATGTTTTAGAGATGATTGTCAGTAATGGTATAGAGCTTGTTGTGCTTTGGATTCCCTGGGAAAAATAAGGCATAATTAATTGTAAATACTCAAGTTCATTTTGATGGCAAATATTTTCAACTTTGGTTGAGGAAGCTCTCTTTATGAGACAAAAAACCTGAAGGAATAACTGATACATGCAGCAAATTTGTAAATCAATAAAAGAATGAATAGGAATGTCTTCCTACTCTACTGAAACAGGCTTAAATAGATTGTGTACCAAAGTAAAAGAAAAGATGAGTGGTGAATTTGCCCAATTTTCCCAAATCAGGATAAGAAATTTAATCTCTTTTAAAGGCTTTTACCATAAATAGATCACAATAAAAAATAAATAAGACATGAGAATATATTTTTAATTATAGTATAAATGTATTTCAACATCCAGCTTCCTGTCTATTCCCAATGCTTATTTGGTAAGTTTGTCTAATATTATGATTTTTCTGGGACCTGCAGGATGGGATGATAAGAAACATGTCAATGAGTAATAGAAAGAAAAAAATGTAGTGGTTTGTGGGATTTCCAATCTTGTCATACACTTCTGCTGAAAGGTTGTGTAAGATTTTATCATTTACTTCACCAAAATAAAATAGCAATTAAATAATTAAATACACCGAGAACATTTCAGGGAACCATGAAATAAATATCTGTACAAAAGTTTTTTGGGTTTTTTTTTTTTTTTAATGATATACTGTACAAATTATTAGGGCAAAAATCTGTCACACAGAAAAGATATTTCAGCCCTTAGGTATATTCATGAATATGCAGAAACAACCTCAGACGTGGAGAGTCTCAGCAATCTGTTGTAAACATGTGTCCTTGTGTATGGATTTTCATGTACGTACAGGTATAGATGGATAAAGATCTACTGAACTTAATGCTTCAGGGGAAAACAATTCAGGACTTCAATAAATTTCACTTGGAAGACTTATTTCTGAGACATCTTGAAGTCAGGTTGATAACATATGGAATTAGCCCATCTCCTACACATCTCAGACAAATCTGCACCTAGTCCCCTCAGTAAATGTCGCTTATTTGGGACTTCACCACTGTGACAATAAAAAGAATAAGAAATCTTGCCTTGCAAATTAAAACCTCTGTGAATAGCTGGCAAAGGAGAAAATACATGATTAGTCATTGCTGAAATGCCTCTTCATGTGAGGGGAAAGCACATGATTTCACATCCAGTCACACTGCTGCCACACACATCCATCAATTCTGTTTTACCTCAATAGAATGAAAACAAGGCTAGAATTTAGAAGGGTTCAGTAACTTGAATTAAGACCATAACTGAATTTGAAGTTCTGTGGCTGGAACAATAAATACATTTCATAAATCTGATCCGAAGGAATTTAATTTTTCTCTAGGGCTTTTTTGTTCACATGAAAGAATAATTCCCTCCCCCAACTTTCTTTTTTATTACCTAACTTTTAACCATAGAATTGAAGAATTCCTGGTGTTGGAAGGCATATCTGGAGATTGTTTCATTGAAGCCCCCTGTTCAAGCATGGCCAGCTAGAGAAGGTTTCCCAGGATGCTGTCTGGTTGGGTTTGTAATATCTCCAAGGATGAACACTCCACAGCCTCTCTGAGCAACCTGGCACAACTGTTCCAGTGCCAGTGTTGCATTCAAGTTATATCTTTGCAGCTGCCCACAATAAAAGGTCAGGAGGTATAAGACAATATTCACATGTCAGAAAGAAGTCATCCTCTTGTACCGATTCATGGCCTGCTGTGAGCATTTGTATCTGGTTAGTCCTGGGAACTTCTGGTAGAATTTGAATCAGTTTTTCTCCTTCAAGTCATCCAAAAACTTCTGCAAAGTATCCAGGTGCAAAAAGGAAAAAAAAAGGAGGTTGGGCTCTGACTTATGTGCATCAATCCAGGCACAGTCCAGGGAGAGAGATTCAAGCCAACATTATGCCTGATAGGAGAGTTTAAATTTTAATTTAGAGCATTGATGACACCTCCCAAATTTGCTATTCAAGTCAGGATGCACAAGGCTAGATTTTATGTAGACCAGCATTTAAGTGTGGTTTTCTTCCTAAAAGCTTCTGAAACCCTTTTAAAAATAGCAGTAGAAAGGTGGAAAGCTTTTGCTGTTAAGCCACTGCCTGCAACTCTTCAGGTCTGTTCTCCTGTGAGTTTTCCACATAAAATTTGCAGAATGACAGCTACCTGTGGAATGGAGAAGCCTGAAGGACAAGCCACATGCAGATCTACTACAGTCCTTTCTTTGAAACACATCCAACATGCTGCAAAACACACCATTTCCACACTGCCTTTGGAAAATATTTTCTTGACAGAAACATTTTTGACCTTTGGTCTATAGAAAGATCAAGATTTCCTCTGTAGGAAAGTGACTTTGCCCACCAATGTTTTGCCCTGATGCACAGTGTGAATGTAGCCAGATGTGGATGGACTTAGAGACTGGGTCTGTGGGGTACACAGGGAAAAGCACCCACCTTCTCCTGTGGATAGAGCTTTGAGAATCGGCTTTCCTGTTAGCTGTTACCCCCTGACCTTTCCAGCATTTGTCTGGCATGTTCTGCAGCCACTACTTAGTGGGGAGCCAGAAAAGAGAAGACTGTGTCTATTCACTGGAACGTGGTGCTTTGAAAACTCCAGCATAAAACTAGCTCTGCACTTGGCAGCTGGATGCTGGATGTGTGCTGTATGGGATGAGAGGTTATAATTCACAGCTCCTGGGCTGAGGTGTGGATGAAGGAGGGTTGGATTTGTGATGATTATCCTTTGCATGTGTAAGAGGAGTCTTATCTCTCATCGTTATCTCTGTTAGAACGTGGACTGCAGAGCTGCATGGCTTAGATTCC